ACGTTTTTAGACTTTTCAGTGCCACCCGAGTGGCCCTTCGAGAGCAACATGGAAGTGGAGTTCACCTTGTTAGTCTTCGCCGAGAAGACACAGGAACAAAGCAACACCCAACAGCAAAGCACCCTTTCAATCGAGTAAGAACATGTGAGACCCTCTCACAGGTCAACCATATAACACATTCTAAATTTCCCAATCGACTCATGTTTTGAACCAAAAGAAACACCAACCCTCCCACACGCTCAAAAAGAAGATGACCTTCCCGGCCCTCCAAAATCGGACGCCGCGGGATCATTTTTGCGGCTCGGAGCGAGTGATGAGCGCGGTCGCGACGGGGCTGAGGAGGCTGCGCGGGTTTAGAGTTCCCCTGGGTCTGGGGAGGGTAAGAGGAAGGACGTGTGGGTTTAGCCCAGATGTTGAAGCTAGTTAGAGGTGAATTTGAGAGTTCGGTTTCTGTTCTAGTGACCCTAACAGATAGAACAGTCAGTAAAAGTAAAGCAACATGGTGTTTGTGGCCTTTTTTTTTTTCTCTCTCTCTCTCTATATCAATTGATCGATCTCCCTAGGTACCCACATATATATATATATATATTTATCATCTATCCCTGGTATATCCTGCTTACTACATGTTACTACATGTTACTACTATATCTACCACTAGATGGATGGGGCTTTGTAGAACTTCGGGTTTCGGTTGCCAGCGAGGAGGAGTTGAGACTGGCTTTGGTGTTTAGGCCTGAAGTATACAGAATTTCCAGGAGATGAACAGTCAACCAGTCAACAAGCACGGGTTGTACTGAGTTCCGGGAGTGGAAATTCTTGGGTAGCACCAGTTTATCTATCAAATTCATTCAAATTCCATCAATACTTTCCAGAATGACGGACCATTTAGCACTAGTCTTGTTCTTTTTGGGGGACCATGACCTCTTGCGATTCTGTCCTCACATCTCACACCAGGGAGCCGGTGTGTTGCCCCTCCACCCGCTGGGCGCACCACGTGCGGAGACCCAGCTGAACGTCAGGGAATTCGATGGCTCGGATTCTCTTGGATTCACCTCGTTGACGTTGATTTTTGGGTACAGTCCCCTGAAAGGTTTGGATCCAACCCAAAACGAACCGGACTCGGACATGGTTTCCATGAACCACGTGTGGGAATGGAAGCAAGAGCGTTGACTGGACAATTGCTCTTGGTGGGGCATCCAAGGCCCGAACATCTGGGGATCCTCCCGTTGACTGCGCATCTGAAAACGTAAACCCCTCCGCCGAAGCGGAGCGTTCCGGCGGCTTTCTGTGTGACCGGAACGGGTGACCGGCGAAGCGAACATCGAACGGGTAACCTGAGACTCAACCGAAGCTGGAGTTGCTGAGCAGCGGCAAGATCAACTCAACATATGACTCCCCCAACAAACCAAGTAGAGTGTTCCAAAGGGATGGATCTAAACTAAACCATCCGGTGGATCATTGAAAGGAAGTGGTGATCAGAACTACCGTAACACCGAAAACTTGGAATCCGCAGGATGTCTTTACTCTTATTTTTGTCTATGGCGGTGACCGGCGGTTTTTCCCGTGCCTTGAACCACCTTCCAGTCGGCTGCGCTAGCAGTGAGGCCTGGTCTTGCCGGCCAGACGTCTTTCTGTCCGCAGAGGCGATATGGTAGGGAAACAGCTGGTGATGGGCCTTGGAACAAAGACGCTGGATGCCCTGATGCCCTGGCCTAGGAGGGAGGTGGGTGGTTTCGATGGCTGCTCCACTTGGAGTTTTTTTCGCATTGCGATGCACCATGTTGGGCGCCCCCAGGTCATAGTGGCGGACACTTGAGTGCTGTTCTGGCCTGGGAGTGGCTTTTGGACTCATCCAGAAAGTCATCCCAAAACGTGGTCCGCACAAACCATGAGATGAGTGTGTCTTGGAATGGGACCTCCATAGGACCCCTCCATAGGACCCCCTCAAAAAAGGAAATAGACCAGTCTACCCCATTGGTGGGGGGTTTTCCCTTAAGATATGCCGACCAGGTCTGCAGCCGACCCGAGAAGGGAGCGCTGGCCCAGTGGGCTCTTGGCTTGGAGGTGAGCCACGACCGAGCCACGGGGGGGCGTGGCATTCTGCCCGCGCGTCCGGCACGTCCGAGTCCGGGACCGGCCACAAACTACGCGACTCGAAGATCCACAGGTGGAGGACGTCCTGGGAGTCGCTGGTCTCACACCTTTGGACCTTCTAAGCGACCTCTTAGATCGCTGGGGACAGTTTTGGATGTTTTATTCTTTCTCGTTTGTCCAGCCTTCGAGTTCTGCAACTCCTTCGCTTTTTTGGAACCCTGGAAGACTCACGGCGACTCGAGGACCCCTAAGAGCGGCTTTGGTGCCTTTTTTGGGCAGGTCCAGTTTCCCTAGTCCCTGGCAGTCCTTTTTGCCAGAGGGCGTGTATTCCTACCAGGCAGCGTCTATTCCAAAGGTCCGGCTGAAAAAAGAGCCCAAACATTGCTTGAGAAGCACCTTCGATTGGGTGTGGACACCGTCTCTCACCAAACAAGATGCAAACCCCGGGAGTAGTTCTTATGCCCCCCAAACTCCGACTCCGGGCGCTCCGGCCGCGTCGTTCCCGTTCCCCTTCGTCCAATCCCTCGGCCCCGATGCCATGTCTTGTCTCTGTCTCAGGCCCTGTCAGTGAGGCTCAAAGCCCTGGCTGGGACCCTCTTGAAGCTCTTGGAGAATCCGGAGCACCGAGCTGCGGCCGTTCAGGCGGGAGCGCGATGCGGCGGAGTTTGGCGGGATGGCGAAAACACAGGCAGCGCCCACGGGAGAAGGAGAACACCCCGACGGCTGAGAGGATTTGGGGGGGCGAAGGTGTCTGTTTTGTTTAGGAATCTGCGAATTGAAAGAAGGAGAAGATGGGCACCATGAGGTGGGTCGAAGGCGAAGGCCAGTCTTTGGCATGTTCTTCAGAAGGACAGAAACACGATGCCTGCGGATTTGGATGCAAAGGAGTGGGTGTCTGATCATCCGGATGGCAGGTCATCATAGGGCCTCAGTCTGCACAAGGTGGAAGTTGGAGGTGTCACAGGTGTCCCTTACATCACCGACGAAAGGTCACAGTACAAGATACAAGGACTCTTGGACAAGCACATCCTACCAGGAACGGAATTCTGGAACCTGGGGCCCTGTTCATGTTGACGAGAACAGGCAACCACCCTTGCAAAACAAGAATGTTATATCTCAATGGTTTATATGATTTATGCATCATATATACACACACACATGTGTGTATATATGTATACCTAGTGCTTCCAATGGGTGCCCAATGGTGACCAATAAGCAGCGTAGGGTTGTCCATTGGTCACCCCTTGGAAGCAGCTGATATGTATATGTACATAGGCACATCTAGCCTTCTCATTTGCCCGTACCGGAGGGGGGTCATATGCCAACCCCACCGGCCACCGGCTTGGTCGGTGCGACGAGGCCACGCTGAGATCTGCGTTGCATCACTGCGTGGGGGTCGCCTGGGAGCGTATTTTGGAGAGCTCTAAAGGACAAGAAATGGAAAACAGGTATTCTACGTCACTTGTTTGTGGGGCCCGGCACAACAAGGGACGTATATTATAAATAATAAGGCCCGTACCATTGCACTTTGGCAATATGATGCTTCAGGCTTAAGCATATAGGGAGAAGAGGAAAAGCTGGAGCTTTTTGGCGGGGTTGATATCAAAGAAGCAAAGGTGGATTTCGTTGGAAGGCTCGACTCATCCAAATTGCTATCTGTGGAGTAGGATGTTCGTGCTTCCATGAGGTGGGTTCCTAGGCCGAGGGTAACTTTAAATTTGCAGCTATATAGGATCTTTTTGAACACTGACTTTGCAGAAGACATCACAAGAATATTGTCCATCCCGAACATGACAGCAGAAGTCAATCTTCTTTTTAGCAGATGGTGATGTCAAAAAGGTCGTCTGAAAAGGTTCCAGCTGGTTTTGTGAGTCCAGATCAACATCGAGGAAACCTGGGTCGCCGCACCAAGTCATTTTTTTGGAAGTTCACGTTTGATGTCTGGATGGATTTGGATGGAAAGGGCTGTGACTGGGTTCACAACAGGATACCTCCAGTGTTTGGGTTGGTAGAATCACGGGTCATACAACCAGGAGCCCTGCTTTTGATCTCAACCTCAAATGGATAGATACGTACTAAATGGACAAATTGTATCGACCTCCTTGGGGACCTCAGTGGTTCTTTTTGCTTGCGTCCGAGGCCCATTTGAGCAGACAGGAGGCCGGACTGGAGGGCCAAAGAGTGGTGGAGAAGGGAGAGAAACCTGGGGCTGTGACAAGGTGTGCGACGTGGGTGGTGTGTGCATGGATTGGGGTGAACCACTCCGAATCGATCAGAAGGCCTTTGCTCAGCAGTCCCTTGACTCGGTACCTTATCCGTAGAAGTCCAAAGACTATATTTTGACCGGCTGAAGTAAAGGAAGTTCCCTTTCAGGTCCCCTAGTCAGGCCCAGTCAGACTATTCTTTTTATAGTCTTTGACTCCCAGGGTTATGGTTGGGCTGTTTGAAGTTTTTGTAGTTGGACTCGTTGAACACATTCTTACGACGGATTTTCCGTCGTCACCTCGACACACACGCAGCGACGCACACACACACACACATGCACACATACATTGCGCAGGATGCAGTTTCTTTTTTCCTCTTCTCGAGGTGTTACCACCAGTGCAGCTCTTCACACGGAAGTCGGGTGCTGCACCAGAGGAGCGCTGTGGTGAACCGGCGCTGCGAGTGTGGTGAACTATTGATTGGTGATGCTTGAGTTGTGCCACCCTCTTTTTTTGTGGCACAGAGGCACAGGGGTGCTGTCGCACGTCCACGAAAGAGGTTGCTGATGCACTTTCTACTGCACGGCATGCCACGAAACGTATTTGAAAGACCGGCCTTGAGACGTGTCTTCTGCGCGAACATCGGCACGAATTCTAGGAGCAGTCCAGTTCTCCAAATCGGTCACCAACCTGTTTCGAAGGGTGCAATGGTCCTGGACCGCTTGAGTTTGGTCCGTGAGCTTCTTTTCGTCGTCCATGGCGAAGGTCCATGTGAGTGAGACTGGGGTGAGGCACACGACACGTATCTACATATACCAGATACGCCAGGACCTTCCAACAGCTGGTGTTTGGACACCTCTTATATAACCTCAAGAAGCAAGAAGAGGCTATTTATAGACAGACACCTCTTGGTGTCGGTCCTGGCATGTATAACACTGGATTCTTTCGCTGGAAATCCAGGCATACCCCCACCCAAGCAACGGCTGGGTGAATCAACAGCTGGGAGCCCCACGACCCAGCTGGGGACAACGCGGCGTACTGCACCAGCTCAACGGCGGGGAGAAGCAGAGCCGTAACGCGCGACGGGGTCAAACAGGGGAGCTCACGTGCGACGCGTGACGGTGGACACCCCTTGAAGCCTTGGAAATGGTGAGGTGGATACCCTTTGAGTCCTGGAATTGATTGTGTAAATTGTGCCTTTGGGAATGCGAGTGGGTGAGACGATGCCATAGAAGCCCGCCGTGGACAGAAGTTCTCTTGTGCAGGAGTGGCGACAGGGGTTGGCCAGGAGCCGAAAGCAGGTGGTCGCCTCAGATGTGGAGCTTGGCATCCCAGAGAGGTCCTAGAGGTGTGTATCGCTAGGGTGGAGGCCATCGCTCTTAGGTCCTAGAGGTGTCTTTGGATTCCCGTGAACATCGAGTCGCATCCTAAGCAACGGGCCCGCTCGGTGTGGTGTTGACGGAGAGATCGGGTCGGATCGATCCGACCCAACCGTGGCAGGTCAAGCTCGCGGCGGCGGAGTGGCTGGGCGGCAAACCACCGCAGCGGAGTGGTGGAGTCGGGGTGATGGGTTTGAGGTCTGGCTGATTGGGCGAGCCAGTTCTTGGGACAAATTCGCCACCAGCCCTAATGCTAGCCAAAGGTTTGGGGGCCATCCATGTGACATACCACTGGTATTATTGCAAACAAACTTCAGGAACTGTGCTAGCCTCTACAGATCAGGGGAGTTGGACAGGATACAGTATGTCTATCGAAGCTGATCTATGATCTAGGTGAAGCAAAAGAAACTGAACTCGATGCCTCTTCTCTCCACTTTCGTGCCTTCTTGATCGGACCCCAACAGTGTTGAACTTGAGGCATGAGGAAACTGTGGTGGACTCAGTGTGGGCGGTGGAGGGCGGTCCCATGGAAAAGACAAAAGTGACCTGCTTCAGTGATTCTTCATTTGAAGGATGTGCTTGTCTTTTTTCAATCAAAGCATACCATCCTGCTTCTTGCAGCGTCTTCGGAGTTTTGGATGCTGCATATCCGTTCAACTCAGGATGCTCTGCATTCAGACCGCCAGCGAGCGGTCGTGAGAAGTCTCCAGGCCAGTTGTGAATAATTCTATATTCTCTGGCGTCCAAGATGGTCTTTGAACTTCTAGGGGTTTGTTGTTTTTGTTGCAGGAGAGAGGAGGGGGCATGGATGGTCTATGGATGGCCACACGTCCGATCGCCGAAGTCGACCCTGGTCGCCCTCCGACCCGACCCATTCGGAGGTGCGGTCGGAGCTGCTGATCGCCCGCCTTTCCCTTGGAACAGAGGGCTTGTCCAAGGATCTCGGTCACTTTACCACCAGGTCTTTCTGCTTTCACCAGGACTTGGGTTTCTGGAAGATGTGCAACGAACACTCCGTCCGCGCGAGTTCCTCGTGGTCCAGACATCGCGATGAGCGAGGCCGTGACCAGATCGAGGAGGAATTACCAAAGAAGGAATCATGGGCGGCCCAAAGAAGGATGCAGGTCCTCAGAAACGGGATCCAATATACTTGACATGCTTGCATATATGTTCACATTGAGGAATGGAGGGATGAGGGATGCAACAGTCCCCCGATCACCCGACACCACCTATAGTGGTGCTTGGCTCCCGCAAGGCTGTATCGCCCATCACTGTCATGAACTGCTCGCTAGGCTGCCTCTGCGCTGGGAGTGCCTGAAGCTGGACCCTGGGTCGGGGCGCTTGGCAGTGCTTTCTCCAATCCAATGGACCCTGCGTGTTTGCAGACAATGGCCAGAAATGGCTGCACGGTCCAGGACATCTATGAGTAGATGAGCTCCCGAAAGGAGATGCATGAAACAGAGTCGAAAACGTTCCATGATGCGGATCATAGAAGGCATATGAAAGACGTTGAAATAGAACGAAATAGATATGGATAGGTTAGTGGAGAGTTTCTGCAACTATCTCTGCAGTCCACTCCCTTTTTCCCACTGCTTTTGACTCTCCCATGAACTTGCCCGACTTGTTCCACCAGGCTTGCCTGACTTCCTTTTGATCCACGGACCGCGCCCCACATTCCATCCCCTCGCTTGGCTCCTCTTGACAGGCCCAAGAGATGGCTACGCTCTTCAGCTCCTGCCAGCGCCTGGCGGAGCACGCGCGGAACACCTACGCCGAGGCTGGGCCGGCGGGCGCTCCGCTTTTGGGCGGGCGCGCGGGTTTCAACACCCGGAGCCCGGCACGGGAATCCGAGTGCTGCGGAGGTGAAGCTGTTTTTCTTCTTCGGAGGAGAGAAAAGGGTTTTTCAAAAACGACACGGGTTGCCATGTGGGTTGCCAAGAGACTCCAAGACATGGCTCACCGAACCAAGGGTTGGATCTCGCTGGCTGGGGGCCGTGTGTTGATTAGAATGTACAGCAGCAGGCTTTCTAGAACACATCGATCATCTCATGCGCAAGAGTTCTTTGGACCAACAGCTCCAGACTTCTTGAAGGCCATCACTATATTTTTCAGAGTCTGATAGCTTTGACATGCTTTGACCAATCATGGTCTCCACTTATTTATAGCTTTGGGAGTCTTTCAAGTCTCTTCAAGACCAACGTGGAGCACTGCTCAAACCTATAGTGACTCTAGTGGGGGATGGGGGGATGGTGGGGGGGGCAACCGCTTTCGCTCGGGCACCACGACATGTTGCCCCGAGCGGTACCGAGGCCCAAAGGCGACGGTCCAGTCGCTCCAGCGCCACGGTGGGGCGCCACAGTGGGCGTCACCGGTGGCCGGGAAACCATTCCCCCCATAGATTCACCCCTTTTTTTTTGGGGGGGGGGGGGGTTGGATGGGTTCTATTCCATTCTATTCATGGTGGTTTCCTGGGGGTCGGGTTGTTTTGCTGGGCGCCCAGGGTCTTTTGAGGCGTGGGCCGTGATTCGAGCCTGCCAGCGCTTGAGGGAATCAGAGCCATCAGAGCCGGGGCCCAAAAAGAGGAACCAAAGCCATGTGCGACCTGCAGTGACCAGTGACGGGGGACCCGTCCGGTGACCTGTCCGGTGCGGGTCCACCGGTTGAGGTCGACCGTTGGCGCCGGGCGCCCTATCGGTGCATCGCCGAGAAGGTGGAGGACGGGACCGGAGCGACGAGTCGGAGCGCGGGCTTCCCCAAGATCCACCCGATAAGAATGGTTGATCTGGGGCTGAGAATGATTTTGTGTTGAGTTACTAACCGGCTTAGAGACCAGCCCAACCGCTGCATCCAAGGGCCCCAGATCCAAGAAGGGGCCCACTCAGACACGGCGGCTGTCAATTCCCTACAGCCTACAGCGGTTAACCTTTCCTTTTCCTTTCGCACACCAATCAAAAACACCCCCACAAACACCCCATTCGGGCTCATTTCATAGTTATTTTTAATGGAATTCAATTGAATGGATCGGTTTTCCCAGATGATGATAGATTCTCCAAAAACTGGTTGGTCTGAGATGCGATACATTGAGTAATGATTTGCTTGTTTGGGTGGATCTTCTCCCTCCAAATCTGAGGAAGAAGAGGTTGGGCCAGCGCCGCTGCAGATTGGCCCGGTGCTTTGTGAAGGTTTGGATGCCGGGTGCCCAAGGAGGATTCAGGCACGGGCGCGGCCTGCGCCTGCCCTGGGTTGGCGAGGGTCTCACAATGAGATCCCGTCCACACTTCTTGTAGAAAGGGACCAAGAACCACAACATGCCACCGCTGACTTCGTCTCCCAGGAGGCGGTCCGCCGCCTCGTCGAGCCGCCGCCCGCACCGCGGGGCGCGGCGGCGCGGCCGGCCTCCCGGCCGGCCTCTCGGCCGGCCTCGCAGGCTTCAACTGGGCTAAGGTGGTGGGGGTCCTGGATAGAAAGTTCAAAAAATCCGAGAGAATGGTGAGAACAGGAGACGCTCCCCCAGCTTCTGGGAGCCGTGAATGGTGCTGTAGAGAGCCCATGAATGGTATGGCGGGATTTGGAACTGGCAGAGATCCGAGCGAAATGTGGGTTCCGTGATCGAGTTGAAACGAGCTGGAATGAAGGAATGGATGGATGAGCCTATTATGATGAGCCTATGACTTCTCCTTCCTTTCTCCATCATTCACGACTCAAGCAAGCCGGTTTGTTATTCATGCAGGCCAGCAAGCAGGATACGCCGCTCAAGGGGAGGAGGCGCGGATGCTTTTGGGTAGCTGGGCACCGGGCTGGTGGAGCTCAACAAAGACTACCTGAACTTCAAGGCGGCCAACAACTCTGCTTGGGGATGTGTTTTGTACGCGCTACTTCCTCCCCGGTGCATCCGATGTGTTCATGAGCTAACGAGATCCAACGAGTCAAACCTGGTGGTTTGAGTTTCAGCCAGGAGATGCAAGGGAAGATGCAGCAACCACCAAGTGTGGAGCTGGAGGCAGTACTTAGCATCTTCCCAATTGCTAGTACTTCCCAAGGTGACAGGTCTTCAACTGAACACGGGGAAGCGAACACACAAAAACACCCATATGGTACTGGCCATACATCCTTGGTCCTACATCCGTCCGAAAGAACTGGAGACGATCCGCCCAGCACGGTGGCGATCCGACTCGAAACGCCGGTGCAGCCGGAGACGGAACGGCGGAACGACCGTCGTGGCCCATCCGTCCAGGAACAAGGCCTCCCAGACCCCGGACCCGCTCTCACGGCCGAAGACCTCGCAGGTGGGGGCCCTGATCCGGTCGGAACTCGGGACTGGACTCGGGACTGGATCTCGTTGGAGGCGCCACGCCTTCAGACCGGCGCCACGCCTTCTTGGGTCTCATGCCGGTTGGGAAGGAAACGGTGGTCCAGGGAGTCTGAGTCTTAATTTTGGAAGGGAGTCTGAAAAACGGTTTTCTATCTTTTGGTCATATGCCATTTTCATCTTCACCCAGCTTCCCAGCTAGGCGCCGTGGTGAGGCTGGGCGCCGAAACTGGACCGCGCCGCGTTGGTTGTTTTCCGCGTGGCCCAGGAACGACGACCTTGGTCGGCAAGGCCAGGGAGTCCGTGTTCTTCTCGACCTGGTTCGACGCATCCGTCCTCTCCGACATTCTCCGACCCTTGGAAAGCATCACCAAGTCCGGAGTCACGCCCGGGTCGTTCCGGCGTTTCCGATGACCAAAACCCCGTATACGTGAAAGGGCGCGTGCGTGGGCGCGTGCGTGGCATGCTTGCGTGGGGCACGCGGTCGGGACCCGACAGAACTCCATGCTTGCAGCAATTGAGGCGCTGGAAAAGGGTATGTTCTCCATTTGCCACACGTGCCCCAAAGATCCTCAAGCCTGGACCTGTGCAAGGCTTGCTTGAACTCGAAGATTGTTACTCCCCCCCCCACACAGAACCTGGGTGTTTTGATCCGTCCACATCAGGTGGGGCGCAAAAAAAACGACGTTTTCCACCTTTGAGAGAGAGGAGTTCCGCTCTGAACGACCCTAGCCGCAGCCGCATCGCTCGACCCACCCCGGGTTGCCAGGCATCCGACGTGAGCCGCATCGCTGTCCCTTTTGGCCGGCGAAGAATGTGGGTGGGCAAAGACTCCACGCGCGAATGACTGCGACCACGTTCTGGCGGTGATGCCGATGAAACTGGGGGAAGACCTCCCCAGAAATCTTCAAGTGCAAAATCCCATCCTCCTGTTTTGGGGGGGGGGTTGGACTCCAGATGTCGTGCTCACTTGCAGCCTTCTGCCTAATATAAGGTACAAAGAAAAGGGTTCATTTCTACCTTGGCTGACGCAGAGGGTGCAGATTCCCATGGATGACTGGAGTGACTGCGCAGCCGGCTGCGCGCGCGCTGCGATGCCCGACGTTTGGACGCCCAACTCCCGCAACGCGCTGCTCCCGTTCGGAGCGACCGTCGATTCCGTGGGGAGCCTGAAAAGTCCAGGCTTCCACCAGCGGCGTGAGGCTCAAAAAGGAGACCCTATAGGCTTCCTGACCCACCTTTCATTGAATGGGCGCCAAATACCGAGTCAACTATGGACTTTACACTACAAACACCAGGTCAACATAGGTCAACCCTTTTTTGAAGGGTCTTGGAGGTCTAGGGAGGGAGTGCGAAGTAGGTCGTCATAGTACATAGGTACTTTCGGAGAGTCAACTCTCCACGAGGCCGTCTCTTTTTCCAGAAATCTGGGCCGACACGTCGCTGCTTTTCTCCTGCAACCAGTGTTTGGAGCCGCTTTCTACCTTTGGGCTGATGATACCATTGCAAAACGCACTAATACCATTTGGAAGCCATTTCATGGGTGCACAGAAGCTTTTTGCATGACTTTGCTGCCTGTTTTCTGGCACAGGCAGTGTATATACCTGCTTGCCTACTTTTCAATTGACATGGTCATTTCAAATTTCTTTCCTTCAGGTTTTCTTTTTCATGCGGTGTCCTTTTATTTTCCTTTTCATTTGTTTTTGCTCCCCTTAACAGCCTTTATAGACCAATTGCTGCGAGAAACTCAGAGGAACTTTGCCATTTACAAAACACTGCCCCACACTAGTCCCTTTGTCGTGTCCACCCTTTGTTGGTTGCTCCGTCAAGGGAATTGGCGAAGTCACCTTGGGACCAGTTTTGCATGGTTCATTTTTGATCCTTTTGCAGCCCCTGGGCTGCACCCCCACACTGCACGTGTTCTACTCGGCTCGCGCCGACCTCAGCTTGGTGAATTGGTTTCACCATGCCCCTCGGTGTCGGTCGGAGGAAACTCAGTCCATCGAAATCCAGTCCTGGAGACCTCTCTTAGTCAGTTTGTCATAGTTTGTAACAGTATAGTCAGTGGATGAATCCATTTGTTAGACCAGTTTTTCCCAGGTTTTGTCAGTTTGTCCTGTGGGTGAGCAGTGGGAGTGGTTGTTTAAACTGATCCGTTCAAGTAACGAGCATGGCTTGTTTTTACCCATAGTGATCACTGTGAGCGCCTGTGGGTGGCCTTTTTCAACCAGTTCTACTTTCACCCTTGTGTCTTTCATGGTGAAGCGTCCCTTCAACGACTCCGCGTCCAACACTTTTGAAGCCGTTGACAACTCTGGGAGCCATTAGCATTGTCAGTGGCAGGGCTAACATACAGGTCATGCAAGTCATGCACGAACTGACCATCCACTGCGAATGTGGACTCTTGCTGAAACGCCAAGCTCTATTGTGTGTTTCTCCGTGTGTGTTGTGTGCCATGTTCCAAATTGATGTGCTTAAGAATAGCTACAAGTGCATTGTAGCAATTGCAGCACAAGAAGCGAGCATTCCTCCATCTCATTTCGGGTGGTGCGCTGCTTCAGAGCACTCCCATGCACGGAGAAGACTCAGTTTGCAGCCAACTGCACTCTTGGATGTCCAAAGGCAGGGTCTGGACAGGACGGAAATGGGATGTGACCAACCTGGAAACAGGGTGAGGGCACTGAGGGCAGTGACACCCAGGTATTTCTGCGGGAGACGGTCCGCTGAAATCCTTTCGTGATCCCGATCCCGCCAGGGTCGGAGTGGTCCAAACGGGGGTCGGTCGCATCCCATGTGGATACGAATTCTTTTGCATGTCGGTTCGGTGACCGAACAACGGCAGGTCGTTGTTAGAAGACTCAACGGTCTTCCTGCGCTAAGCCTTGATGCTGCGCTGTTCGTTCCTTGAAACCAATCCTGCGCCATGGAAAGCAAGCCATCCTCGCACGCCATTTTTTCGCTCAGTCGTGTCACTGTGTCACCTCCTCTTCCAGAAGAGAGAGCCATGGAAATTCAAGCACTCTCTGGTGCCACTGTCACCCAGCTTCATGAGGAGGAACTCAGCTGCATGGTCGAGAGTGGACAATCTGTAAAGGATCTGAAAAAGTTCCTAGCCAGTCGGATTGGATACTCGAGATTTCGACAAAGACTTTTCAGTGAAGAGATGGGCGAGCTACAGGATGATATGCCTGTCAGAAATCTATCAAGTTTGCAGTTGGTAATCTTGGACTTCTGTGCACCTGAGGAGGCCAAGTGGAAGGCACTACTCCATGCGTGTGAGAACAATCGAGTTGTTGAAGTTGAACAGTTGCTTCAGAAACCACTGGATCCAAATAGGAGAGGCACAAGCCCTCAACCTGAATGGCCTATGTACTCCGCGGCGGCACTGGGCTATTTGGAAGTGGTGCAGGTGTTGCTCGAGGCTGGAGCTGACAAGAATGCAGCAACTCAAGACGGGGAGACCGCCTTGATGGCTGCAGCTCTGGATGGCCACTTGGAAGTGGTGCAGGTGTTGCTCGATGCCGGAGCTGACAAGAATGCTGCAAAGCAAAACGGGGCAACCGCCTTGATGCTTGCAGCTCAGAATGGCCACTTGGAAGTGGTGCAGGTGTTGCTCGAGGCTGGAGCTGAGAAGAATGCAACTGTGGTTGCTGTGGTTCAAGGCCGCGAAGTTCAATGGCTGCCGCTAAGCGGGCTAACCGCCTTGATGGCTGCAGCTGGCGCTGGCCACTTGGAAGTGGTGCGGATGTTGCTCGAGGCTGGAGCTGACAAGAATGCAGCAACGCAAGACGGGACAACCGCCTTGATGATTGCAGCTGGCAATGGCCAGTTGGAAGTGGTGCGGATGTTGCTCGAGGCTGGAGCTG